AAGTTGCGTATCAGTTTCAGGAGATTTTGGGCTGAGACGATGGGGTCTTCCAGATATACTATCATATCGTCTGCAAATAGAGACAATTTGGCTTCCTCCTTTCCTATTCGAATACCCTTTATTTCTTTGTCTTGCCTGATTGCTCTGGCTAGAACTTCCAGTACTATATTGAATAGGAGTGGTAAGAGAGGGCATCCTTGTCTAGTGCCAGATTTCAAAGGGAATGCTTCCAGTTTTTGCCCATTCAATATGATATTGGCTATTGGTTTGTCATAAATTCAAGAGCCAGTTGTTCAGCTTTTATTATTTTGAGATATGTTCCATCAATACTGAATTTATTGAGGGTTTTTAGCATAAAGCGCTGTTGAATTTTGTCAAAGGCCTTCTCTGCGTCAATTGAGATAATCATGTGGTTTTTGTTTTTGGTTCTGTTTATGTGGTGAATTACATTTATCGACTTGCATATGTTGAACCAGCCTTGCATCCCCAGGATGAAGCCTACTTGATTGTGATGGATAAGCTTTTTGATGTGCTGTTGCAATCGGCTTGCCAGTATTTTACTGAAGATTTTTGCATCTATGTTCATCATGGATATTGGCCTGAAGTTTTCTTTTCTTGTTGAGTCTCTGCCGGATTTTGGTATCAGGATGATGTTGGTCTTGTAAAATGATATGGGGAAGATTCCCTCTTTTTGGATTGTTTGGAATAGTTTCAGGAGGAATGGTAACAGTTCCTTTTTGTGTGTCTGGTAGAATTCGGCTGTGAACCCATCTGAACCTGGGTTTTTTTTGTGTGGTAGGCTCTTAATTCCTGCCTCAACTTCAGATCTTGTTATTGGTCTATTCATAGTTTCAGCTTCCTCCTGGTTTAGGCCTGGGAGGACACAAGTGTCCAGGAATTTATCCATTTCTTCCAGGTTTACTAGTTTATGTGCATAGAGTTGTTTGTAATATTCTCTGATGATGGTTTGATTTTCTGTGGAATCTGTGGTGATTTCCCCTTTATAGTTTTTTATTGCATCTATTTGGTTATTCTCTCTTTTCTTTTTTATTAATATGGCTAGTGGTCTATTTTGTTGATCTTTTCAAAAAACCAGCTCTTGGATTTGTTGATTTTTTGAAGGGTTTTTCGTGTCTCTATCTCCTTCAGTTCTGCTCTGATCTTAGTTATTTCTTGTCTTCTGCTAGGTTTTGAGTTTTTTTGATCTTGCTCCTCTAGCTCTTTCAATTTTGATGATAGGGTGTCAATTTTGGATCTCTCCATTCTTCTCATGTGGGCACTTATTGCTATATATTTTCCTCTAGAGATTGCTTTAAATGTGTCCCAGAGATTCTGGCATGTTGTGTCTTTGTTCTCATTGGTTTCAAAGAACTTCTTTATTTCTGCCTTCATTTCATTGTTTATCCAGTCAACATTCAAGAGCCAGTTGTTCAGTTTCCATGAAGCTGTGTGGTTCTGAGTTGATTTCTGAATTCTGAGTTCTAACTTGATTGCACTGTGGTCTGAGAGACTGTTTGTTATGATTTCTGTTCTTTTGCATTTGCTGAGGAGTGATTTACTTCCAATTATGTGGTCAATTTTAGAGTAGGTGTGATGTGGTGCTGAGAAGAATGTATATCCTGTGGATTTGGGGTGGAGAGTTCTGTAAATGTCTATCAGGTTTGCTTGTTCCAGGTCTGAGTTCAGGTCCTGGATATCCTTGTTAATTTTCTGTGTGGTTGATCTGTCTAATATTGACAGTGGAGTGTTAAAGTCTCCCACTATTATTGTGTAGGAGTCTAAGTCTCTTTGTAAGTCATTAAGAACTTGCCTTATATATCTGGGTGCTCCTGTAATGGGTCCATATATATTTAGGATCATTAGCTCTTCTTGTTGTATCAATCCTTTTACCATTATGTAATATCCTTCTTTGTCTCTTTAGATTTTTGTTACTTTAAAGTCTATTTTTTCAGAGACGAGAATTGTAACTCCTACTTTTTTTTTGCTCTCCATTTGCTTGGTAAATCTTCCTCCATCCCTTTATTTTGAGCCTTTGTGTATCCTTGCATGTGAGATGGGTTTCCTGGATACAGCACACTGATGGGTTTTGGTTTTTTATCCAATTTGCCAGTCTGTGTCTTTTGATTGGTGCATTTAGTCCATTTACATTTAGGGTTAATATTGTCATGTGTGAATTTGATACTGCCATTTTGATGCTAGCTGGCTGTTTTGCCTGTTAGTTGATGAAGATTCTTCATTTTGTTGATGCTCTTTAGCATTTAGTATGTTTTTGGAATGACTGGTACTGGTTGTTCCTTTCTATGTGTAGTGCCTCTTTCAGGAGCTCTTGTGAAGCAGGCCTGGTGGTGACAAAATCTGTGAGTACTTGCTTGTTCCTGAAGGATTTTATTTTTCCTTCTCTTACGAAGCTCAGTTTGGCTGGATATGTAATTCTGGGTTGAAAGTTCTTTTCTTTAAGGATGTTGAATATTGGCCCCCACTCTCTTCTGGCTTGTAGAGTTTCTGCCAAGAGATCTGCTGTGAGTCTGATGGGCTTCCCTTTGTGGTGAGCCAACCTTTCTCTCTGGCTGCCCTTAGTATTTTCTCCATTTCAACCCTGGTGAATCTGATGGAATATCTTTGTGGTGTTCTCTGTATTTCCTGGATTTGAATATTGGCTTGCCTTGCTATGTTGGGGAAGTTTTCCTGGATAATATCCTGAAGAGTGTTTTCCAGCTTGGATTCATTCTCTTCGTCACATTCAGGTACACCTATCAAACATAGATTAGGTCTCTTCACATGGTCCCACATTTCTTGGAGACTTTGTTCATTCCTTTTTTCACTTTTTTCTCTAATCTTGCCTTCTCTTTTTATTTCGTTGAGTTGATCTTTGACCTCTGATATCCTTTGTTCTGCTTGGTCAATTCGGCTGTTGAAACTTGTGCGTGCTTTGCGAAGTTCTCATGTTGTGTTTTTTAGCTCCATCGGTTCACTCATGTTCCTCTCTAAGTTGTCCATTCTTGTTATCATTTCATCAAATCTTTTTTCAAGGTTCTTAGTTTCTTTGCGTTGACTTAGAATGTGTTCTTTTAGCTCACGGAAGTTTCTCATTACCCACCTTCTAAAGTCTGATTCTGTCATTTCATCACACTCATTCTCCATCCAGCTTTGTTCCCTTGCTGGTGAGGAGTTGTGATCCCTTGTAGGAGGCAAGGTGTTCTGGTTTCGGGTGTTTTCCTCCTTTTTGCAACTGGTTTCTTCGCATCTTTGTGGGTTTATCTACCTGTCGTCTATGTAGTTGCTGATTTTCAGATTGGGTCTCTGAGTGGACGTCCAGATTGTTGATGATGAAGTTATTTCTGTTTCTTAGTTTTCCTTCTGACAGACTGGACCCTCTGCTTTAGGACTGCTGAGGTCCACTCCAAGCCCTGCTTGCCTGGGGGTCACCTGCAGCAGCTGCAGATCAGTAAGGGTTGCTACCAGTTTCTTCTTCTGCTATCTCTGTCCCACAATGATGCCCACCAAATGTCAGTCTGATCAGTCCTTTGTGAGGTGACTCTTTGGATATATGGGGATCAGGAAGCTGCTTGAGGAGAACAGTCTGTTCTTTATAGGAGCTCAAGTACTGAGCTGTGAGCTCCATTGTTCATTCAAAGCTGCTAGGAAGGTATGTTTAAGTCTGCTGCAGCAGAACTCATAAACCCCTTTTTTTCCCCAGGTGCTCTGTCCCAGGGGTTAGGGCTTTATTTATGGTATCGGTTCCATTGCTGCCTTTTTTTTCCCCCTGGGCTGTCCTGCCCAGCAAGAAGGCAGCCTAGTCACTGCCCATAGAGGTTTTGCTGAGCCTCTGCTGTGGGTTCTGCCCTGCTGCTGGCTCCGCCCTGCTGCCCTGTGTATTTCCCTGCAGTCCTGTTTATATGGGTGTGGTTAGAACTGCCTCGGCAATGGTGGCCTGCCTCTGTAATGGCGGACACTCTCTGTTATGGCAGGTTGCCTCGGCAATGGCAGGCTGCATCAGCAATGGCAGACTACCTCCGTAGGGGTGGAGTGCCTCAGTAATGGTGGACACCCCTCCTCCACAAAGCTGGGCCATCCTGGTTTTAGCTGTGCTTGCTGTGAAACTCTCAACCCCGAGCATTTCCAATTGCTGGCTGTTTGTTTTTGTGGGCTTGGGACCCGCTGAGCCTGATCACCTGGCTCCCTGCCTCAGAGCCCTTTTTTTTTAAGTTGAAACAGTTAACTCTCTCCCAGGTGTTCCAGTCGCTTGCTGAAAGGGCACCGGGATCTGTGTGATTTCCCGTGCGGCAACCCACTGCACCAGCTGAAACAACGTGGCTGTCTGGGAATCTCCTGGCCTGCTTTATGTTTCAGTCCCATTTAATCAGATGAATCGGCTAATCTGCCTTCCTGGATCTAGAATTGCCAGTTTAACAGGGCCAGTGTATTTTGTATGGAGAGCTGCTGCAAAAACTATTTCTAATGCTGGAAAATCTATCTGTCCCCTCTTCCCAACAGCTAAAAGTGAGGCAGCTGTGCTTCATATGGATTAGGTAGAGAGAGATGTACTCCATGGTCACTATTGTCAGTGCTCTCTGATGAAATAAAATAAAAACCCAGAACTCTGGAAGAAACCACTATGTTAAAGGAGCCCAGAGTGACTGATGTGATTGGCACAGAGCTCCCTAAACCCTGTAACCAACAGACAAGGAGCTTGTTAACCTAAGTCGTTTGTACCCTGGGTCTGACGCAGTTTCTGAGTATAAGTTAGGAGGGCATTTAAAGTCCAGATGGCTTCTCGGCAAGAGTTTGGCTGTGGGTTTTCTGAGTCTTCCTCTTCCACTTTGGAAGAGCTCTCTCATGTGGATTATAGAGCTATCATCAGAGCCAGTTGTAAATGAGAAGACTGGAGTGCCCATGCCTTTGTCCTCTGTGCTATGCTAAGTGAGTGAGCAGGAAGACCCCTCTGGTGGAGGCTGACACAGGGGTTCTCTCATTCCTCAAGCCTTCTTTCTGCTTTTCAGAAATGAACCGGCATCACTATGCCCTGTACGTGCACAACTGCCGCCTCGTCTTCCTCTTGCGGAAAGACTTCGACCAGGCTGACACCTTTCGCCCCGCAGAGTTCCACTGGAAGCTGGACCAGGTATGGTGCTCACCTCACACCTGCCGCTACTCACGCCTCTGCGGGGTTGGCTGGTCTGATCCAGTGGTGATGGCAAAGTCCTGACCACTTGCTGAATTTTGGAAAATTCAGCTTAGGGAGACACACAGCATCTTAAAGTCAGGAAGGAAACTGCCTCCTTAGAGCCAGGTGAAGGTGAGGAGGGACACACTTCCCAGCTGGGATTCTGCTGAGTCACTGGGCCTATCACATGTGGCTTGTCAATTTACTTTGCATTGAGCTTGTGGAAGCCAGTTCTCCTGATCCCCAGGCTGCTATGATCTCTGTTAGCACATCTGTAAATCATAAATTCTCCATGTCTTCCCTTTGTGCTCTACTACCTCCTTTAGCTGACCCAAGGTTGAGGACTTTGAGTAAGCAGTGCCACAGAGCACCTTGGGGAGTGCATAGTCTTTTCTGAAGTGGGAAAATCTGTGACTCACTCCCAAGCCTCATGACTTCTGATCACAAGAACCCCTGCGTCATACTTGTCAATGACAAAGCAAGTGTGTGGTATGACTCCAAAGCCTTGGAGTATGTTTCTGAGGACTGGGGAGCATTAATGGTAGAAGTAGTACTCGCTTTTCTGGGTGGCTGTGCCATCCAGAAAGTGTCTGTGTAGCAAGACTAGAGTTGGCCTTTGCTTAAATTTGAAAGGGACCAGGGGCTAATTTTTAAAAAGAGTTTTAAATTATCAAGAGAAAGAACGCCAGCAGTGAGAAAAAGGGAGTAAGGAATGGATGCTGCTGAATGAGGCAGAGGAAATTATGCCCTTTCTATGACCCTTCCTCCCTGAGGCCCCAAGACCTCGTTTTGTTTTTATTCTGCTGCTTCCATATGCTGGGCTAAGTACTTCTGGGGCACCCAGTCTTCTTTCCTTTGTCCAAACCCCACTGTGTGTACTACACTACCTGCATCACCTTGCTGAGGGCCAAGTGATTCATAATCCTTTCCCTTCTCCCTCCCTGTTACCATCTCCACCTCCACCCTCTTTCTGTTCCATCCAAGTCTCCAGTCCTCCAGTGAGCTGATCTTAGAGTGCTACTGGGAAGTATTCCAGAAGGAACCCATTCACACTGAGATGGAAATGGTTGCTGCCACCTTTCATCCTCATAGAAGCATACACATGTATGCTCTCTAAAGCAAAGATTCATTAACTCTGGGGAATCTCTCAGTGGTGGAACTCCGGGCAGTGTGACAAGGTGAAGGATGCCAAGCTGATGAGAAAGCTGCTAGGGGAGCCCAGTGGTAACTGCCGAATCCACTCCCAGTAAATCCCATCCTGCTGTATGCTAATTCTAAAAATATGGCATCTTGATTAGTATATGTTCCTCTGAGTTAGAAATTCTGAATCTGGCAGGAATTGTGAAATCTTGACATTGTTTATTTTATTTCTCAGCAACCTTTCAGTTATGTCCTAAAGTGCCATATGGCTTTTATGGGCTGTTTTAAAATATATAATACAAATTTAAGTGAATTAAAATAAATTCCATATTGTGAGGGTTTTTAAAATAGGAACATTGCTATACTGGTTGAGATAATTATAGATATCCTGAGGCATTTTCTAAGATGGGATTGAGAAGCATTGATGCAGGCAGATGAAGTCATGGGCTTCGAAATTAAAAATAGGTAAGGAAGGAATTCTGGTTCTAAAGATAAAGATATAGTGAATCTAGCAGTTCTAACATCTGTTCCCAAAGTGGTGAATTTAAGGAGGGGCTGAGATTCACTGAACACCTTCCAAACTACCCTGATCTCATTGACTCTGTTTGTCAATGCCTGCTCTGTGCTAGGAAGGCTGCACGTGCAGATTATTCTCATCTCTGCTGCAGTCCTTCCTGGTGGCTAATGTGAACCTGGAGACTGAGGTCCGTAGTTTTCCCAAGGTCACACAGCAAACCGTGGCTAGGACCTTAGGACCTGCACTTTCCATTATGCCCGACTGCTGCTTTGGTATGCCAGTTTATTTAAAATCGTTAAAGTTTGCACTTCTAAATGTATAAAAATTTTAGAGATCAGAATTATCACTGAAATATAAAATGTCCATAGTCATGATGAAATCCTCTAAAATGGTCACATCTTCATTTTGCTCAAGCTGTCCTATTCTTTGTCTGCTCAGGCTGCCGTAACAAAATACCACAGGCTGAGTGGCTTCAATAATAGGAATTAATTAATTTTCTCACAGTTAAAGATGTTGGGAAGTACAAGATCAAGGTACTTGCCAGTTTGGTTCCTGTTAAGGGATCTCCTTCTGGCTTGTGAAGGACCTCCTCCTTACCATGTCCTCAGATGGCAGAGAGGGTGCACTTTGGTGTGTTATCTTCTTATGAGGAACCAGCCCTATCGAAAGAGTGCCCCACCCTTTTGATCTCATTTAGCCTTAATCACCTCCTCAAAGTCCTAGCTCCAAATATAGTGCAGGTTAGGGTTTCAAAATATGAATTTAGGAGAGACGAAATTCAGTCCCTAGCATTCCTCTACTGCAGAAATGAACATTTAAAGACTGCCTGTTGATGATCAGAGCCACAGCTCACCTGCACAGCTGCTCTCCCTCTGAAGGCAACCACAGTGAGTAGGTGTGGGAAACCTCAACACCTCCTATGGATTCCTCAAAACCTCAACACCTACTACCAGTTCCCATGCTAGCAATTCAGTGGTGTACATGAACAACCCACAGACCCCTCTTTTTCCTTACTCAGGTTGTGTAGACAGAACCTTGCCAGAAGTTTCTTGGGTGTAAATCACTTGATGCCCAGAATGTGCATCCCTAGTAAGGTCACCTCCCCCAGGAAGCCATTCTGGGTCACTCCCATGGGTTGGTTGCCTCTCTTCTCTGCTCCCCAGTCTCCATGCAGAACTCCATCCCCATTCCTACTGTTCCGTTGTAACCCATTTATCCTGCCTGTCTGCTCACTTTGCCCTGAGCTCCCGGAGGCAGGGTAGTGTGCATGCTTGATGCCTAGTAAATGTTTTCAGAATGGTGAATGGATGTCAAGATTAAAAGAAGGGAGAGATGAAGTGAGGCAGGGGAGGAGGGAGGGAGAGAGGAAAGAGGAAAAATTCAGAGATCTTTGAAAACCTCCCAGTGATTAATTGATCTTTTGATTCATTTTTAAAATTCTTAAATGTTGCCATTTTTTACTCTCTGGATTTCAAACATTGTTCATCCTTTATCTTGATATCTTATTTCAAGATCTTGCTAGATTTACTGCCAGTGGACTTGTAACTGTTACAGAACTTTCTGGCCTTGGCAAGAAGGAACTCAAGCCAGTCTAATGTACTATGTATATTTTAACTCCTGGCCTACCTTGGGAATTTCAGCAGCATTTTATCTGTTCTAATGCCTGATGGGGACTCGTTTATTTCTTTATTCAGCAGTTTATTCTGAGCACAAACTGTGCTCTAAGCTCCGTGCAGGGTATGTGGGATCGGTAGCTAAAATAAGAATCTCTGTTCTCTAGAATTTTCCGTAGTAATGAGTCAAACAGACGCATCAACAGGCAGTTTACAATCCCATGCAATAGGCACTGGGGGCTGGGGCTGGATGGGGAGTCTGTGGGAACCCATGGGGGACACCTGGAGGGAACATCTGAGAGAAATGTAGAGTGCTCCATGCAGCATGGTAGGGCAGCCTAGGTGGCAGAGCAGTGAGCAGGAGGGCTGGGGTAAGGGCATGTGAGCGCTCTGTATGGGCGGGGCATAGGCATAGGCAGGGGACAGGAGAAGAAATCTTTGGCAGGTATTAGGACCCCCATGTGGAGGAGCAGTTGGACATTAAATCCCAAGTGGCCTTTTATAAGGTGTTACTGTGTTGGTGCTTTATCCCCAAAGGAACGGGACATAATTGAACCATCTAGTATTCAGTAGAAGACTGAGAATTTTAGATATGGGCAAATACAAGGAATTCTAGTATGACATTCATCAGATTTATCAAGTTTAAGCAAATATAACTCATGCCAGGCCATTGAATAGAGCCAGTGGCAGGGGCTGTGTTAGAGGCCCCCAAGAAACCCCAGACCTGGACAGACATGTTTGAACAGTGGCTCTTCATGGCACTGAAACCAGGCATGGAGAAGGGTGTTCACATAACCCTCAGGAGTGCTGCTAAGAGAGGCAGTTCTACAGAGGCGCTGTGGACTCTAGCCAGCCCAGCCCCTCTGCACACCTCAGGAGGCTCTAGCCAAGGTGAACAAACAGCCAGGTAAATCTATTACAGGTGGCTTTAGGATATGCCTGTGACAATCCAGGGCCTCTCACTGAAGCCATCATAATGATGAGGAGAATGTCATTTTAATGGGATTTTTACTTATGATCCACTAATACAAATCCCTCAAGCCTGCAGTGAGTCATGTGCAAAGCCAGACAAGAGCAGAGTGCCCAGTTTCCAGCACATACATGAAAGGGTGACTAATTTGCAGTCCCTCCTGGCTTTAATATCATTTGGATATGGTGGACTCAGTGTCACAAATTCTAATAATCTTCCCTTTGGACCTGGTATGGTGATTGGAGGGAAATCTGCTGATGTTTTACAATATGTTCCACTTATGGGAAGACACGGCTTGAGTGACAGCCTCAATCAACAAGGAAGAGCACAGGCACCCCCAGCTCACATAAGAAAAAAAAAGTGCATCTCTGGAAAATTGCAACAAGCACAGGATGCAAACATCAGATTCATCCAGTTGGTCATTGCCCTCTCTGTACCAGAAATTGTAATAGGCATCAGGGATCAAGAGAAGAAAAACACAACTCCACCCTGGGGAATCTCAACCCTGCTCAGTTTATACCCAGTTTACATACCCTTGGGAGCATCTTTTGCAAGAATCCCAAATCCCATCTTTTGCAAATCCCAGGGAATCTGCATTAGTGTATCATAAGTAAAAATCCCTGATAATTGTGGGTGGGGAGAAGCATCAAGATAAGTGAGAATACCTGGTGAATTTAAATTCCAGTGGAAAGTAAAATAAAATAATAAAGGTTTAGCC